AGTAGCAAGGCTCAGGGTGCCCCCCTGTCAACAACCTACCCACTCTACGGTCCTATCAACAGGGCTATGCCCTTGCAGAGTTCACCCAAACCCTGGTACCCACTTCACAGCATATCCCCAATACTTCGGTTTCCCTCCATTTTTTTTAGTTCTAGACTACCAAACCAGATGGCCCGGAAGGACTGTGACCTGTCCCTGGTTCATCGGCTCTGCCATGATCTTTTCCTCTAGTTAACCTGGCGGCCTGGTTGGTGGACTGGCTTTACCACAAACCGGTCATGCCTGTCCAGTTCTTCTACTTCGGTTCCCCTTTTCTTGAGTCTAGCCTTTATAGTAGTACCGTCAAAGATCTGTACTATTTCTCTACTCAGGTCTTCCCAAATAGGCTTCTGTCCTCCAGTTCTACGGATTTACATGACCTAGGGACTTATCTAGTGTTTGCACTGCCCATTGCCGGTTTGCATTCCTCCATGTAATCCAAAGTTGCACAGATGCCCCAGACCTGCCAGTCTTGCTAGTGCGACCATAGTTACAGGTATCCTATCCCAACTGATCGATGAAGGACAGTTGCTATAACACAAGTAATTATTCGAATTTTCCGTCGACGGTGGGTTTCGAACTCTTGACCTGCCACTTGGTAAGGGTAACAACCTAACCACTACACTAGATCGCCACACCTCTAATATATTTAAATTAATTCGAATATTATTAATATTAATAAAATAGAAAAAAATAAAAAATAGTACTGCTTGTCGTCCCTTAGCTACCGATGATGAAGAGTCACTCACTGAAGATGAACTAGTTGAAGCAACATCATCTTCAAGTGCACGTGGTCAAAAAAGAAGAAAGGTTGCTACTACCTCCCGCACTAACAAGGGTAAAAAATGAGCCAAGACTTCACCAATTCCTATTACATCCACACCCGGCTCATCTACATCATATCATTCCGATTTACAACTATCTGAACATTCTCAAACAATTCCTCATGACTCCAAATCTACTCAAACAAATCCGCAACCATCCACATCTGCTCAAATTAACCCACCACCTCCACCTTCTTCTGAAAGCGCTAGTCGTCAAGAATAATATATTTTAATTTTATTTGAATTTTAAATTTTTTTTATAAATCGCTTTTTTTTTTAATATATATATTTTAATTTTTGGGAATATTATTGTAACGCTATGGCATTATAGTGCTATAGCGCCATGGCACTACCCTATGATATAATTATTTTAGTTTAATAAATTAATATTTAATTAGTCATAAATATTAGTTAAATAAATAAACTTTTAGTTATTTACTTACTCTTGCATAGTCACAATCATCAGACACGTGCTTCATAATCACGATCACAATCGGATCGGATACAAAAGCAAAGTGGAAAGTTAATGGGAGTTTATAGATAGTATAGGATAGTTAAGTAAGCGAAGGTTGTACAAATTATGTAATAGTCGAATTAATATAAAGTCCAATATAAATAAAAAAGCAGTCTTTTGTTTCTAGAAAAGCGAACAATATACTTACATGAGTGTATGGAATTATCGTAAATTATCGTAGAAGCTCTTTTAAAAAAAACCACATTTCATCACCAATGGAAAACCACAATCGTAACCAAGTCAAATTTGATGCATTATATGGTGGTAATGAAACCAATATGTCGAATCCTGAAAACGTTCATCACAAGAATATGATGTTTTATGACTGGGACTAGCTGATAAATAAAATATTAGATAACGGCAATCAAGTTGAACATGGAACTGATGTTTTAAAATTTGATAACACTCACTAGAAGGAAGCTCAAGAGGATATGACTTTTTTTAACTAGTACAATACAATGAGTGGAATTACTGTAATACCTGATACACAATACAAAAATAATCAAGTTGATTATGACAATTTAATGACAAATTTTGAAGACACTTTCCATAATCAATTTAGGAC